AAAAAAAAAAAAAAGAAAAAGAAAGTGAATTCTTAGAAATAACTCTATCAAAGTGGTACAAAAACAGTGTGTGTAATAAGTTATAAAGCATATACACACATAATACACACTTATGTATATATAAGTAAATATAGTTCTCCAACATGATTTTATTTTTCGTACTAGGAATCAAACCAGGAGTCTGCATCCATACTGCAGAGTCACATCCCCAGCCTCCCCTTTTTAAAAAATATTTATTTTTTAGTTATAGTGGACACAGTATCTTTATTTTTATGTGATGCTGAGGATAGAACCCAGTGCCTCACGCATAGTAGGCGAGCGGTCTACCTCTGAGCCACAACCCCAGCCCTTTTTATTTTTGATTTTGAAACAGGGTCTCCCTATGTTGCCTAAGCTGACCTTGAACTTGGGATCCTCCTGCCTCAGACTTCCAAGCTGCTAGTAGGATTGTAGGCATGCACCACTGCACTTGGCTAAAGAAACTTATTTATRCATAGGAAGAAATAATATAATTGTTAGATCTCACTAAAATGATCTGTTTTTCAATGTAATTTCAAATAAAAATTTTAAAAAGGTTCTTTGAGAGGTAGTCCACCATAGTCCCTGAGCATCCCTGTAGTTCTGCTAAAAGTACACCGTTATTCATACCCTGGTACCATGTAGTTTCTAAAGCTAGGCAGATAAGTCATGGAAATCACTATGCAACTGTTCTCTCCTGAAGGAGGATACTGGCTTGTTTGCTATTCACAACAATGTCATGTGGCGTACTCAAAAAGTGCTAAGCATTTGACACTGAGTTCCTCAGGTGAAATACAACCTGCTGCTTTCATATCATCAATCTGGGTTCACTGCATTGCCCATAAGACTTAGGGTTAGTGAATAAACACAACTATAGTGATTATCATGCAATTATACTGTAATAGACTGTCTTACTCTTGAATTGGCACACCTATGGAGTGAAAGGTTTATTGCTTATAATCTCTATGGTTGGGATTGTTTTTTTTTTTTTTTTTTTTAACTGACAATATGGAAGACCAAATTACTTTAGAATAGAAAAACAATCCTGAAGAAGAATACTATCTACCACATATTTGGTTATTACAAAACTACAGTAATTGAAACAATAGTGACCAAGAAGGTCCTGGGTTCAATTCCAAACACTGCAAAAATAAATAAAATAAAATAATGAGACTAGTATAGCATCGTTGCAAGAATGGACCAAGGTACTGGAAATGTGATGTATGTATTCATTTATTTATTTTGGTACCAGGGATTGAACCCATGGGTGCTTAACCACTAAACTGTATCCCTAGCCCTTTTCATGTTTTACTTTGAGACAGGTTCTTGCTAAGTTGCTGAGGCTGGCTTTGAACTTTTGCTTCCTCCTGCCTTGGTCTCTGGAGACACTGGAATTATAGGTGTGTGCCACTATGCCTGGTTGGAAAAATTGTTTAAGCAGATACTAGAAGGCTAAAAAAAGTAAAAAAGGAATTAAAAGTTAACAGATAAATATGTATTAACAGACAAATTCAGGATTATACTTCTTGTGCTTTAAGAGACTTGAAGAATTCAGTTCCTACACTGACAAGAGAGATTTGGGCCTACATTTTCTTCTAGTAAATGTAGGCAAATCTTTTAAGCAAAAAAGAGTAGACGTTCTTGGGCATGCATGAATTTAGAAATTATACTGTCTATAAGCCATTTTTTAAAAATCCTGCCCAAAAATAAATAAAACGAAGAGCTGAGGATTAAGGGAATCTTGGTAGAAGGATTTCGTAAATAGATCAATTTAAATACGATCAAACTTTTAC